GAGCCCAGGCAATGCCCTGAGAGGAGGCTCCAGAAGTAGCAAAGGCAGTCACGGGGAGGGGCCTGGTGTCAGTTCCCTTGACTGACTGGTGTCTCAGCCACTCCTGGAACTGGGGCGAGAGAAGGTTCCAGAAGTCCAGGGACTGGGGCCAATAACTAGGGGCACGTGCAAGCCTCTGGGGCGCTCTCTACACCGAAGACCCCCCTTGCCAGATCTAGCGCTGGATCCAGGACTGGTGATCTCCCTCTCTCTCTCCCTCTCTCTCTCTCTCTCCCTCCCCCCTCCCCCCCTCCTTTTCTCTTAAAGCTGCTAAGTAACCCAAGGCCTACCTCAGCTTCTCATAAAGCCTAAGCGCATAACTTAGGTGGATACAATTATGAGAGAGTCAAGGTTTACAGAATGTTTGTTCCATTAAAGTTGATGTTTATGTACGGACCTTGAGTGTTATGTCACTTTAATCCACACCGAGGGGATTTGCGAATGTTAGTCACTGTCCCCTTCTCGGAGGTGGGATGTGACTTACAAATTGTTGTCACGGACAGGATCCCCTCAGTGTTGGAAGGTCCTAAGGGATACTGACTCTTCACCCGGTGAGTGCGGGCGGGGAGAGCCGGGAAGTGACCTCTCAGCGATAAGCTGGGAGAGGTTTGAGCAGTGGCAAGCCATGGCTGCCCGGGAAATGCCGGTGCTTGACTGCTCCCCTGTTATTGAAAAGTTGAAGGAATATAGGGCGTGCCCTTCCCCACCAGGGATGGCATGGGCCCATATTAGTTGGCACGACCCGAAAGCTGTAGCAGATAAAATTACAACCCTTATGAAGGAACAAAAGGCGCGACCAGGAAAAGGGAAAGCCACGGTGTGTGCTGTGTTGGGAGCAGCACTAGTGGCAGGCCAGAAGGAGAGGCACCTGGTTAAACAAACTAATGATGAAATGGTTAAATCTTTGCAGGAACAAATAAAAACACTGCAGAGCCAACTAACCGCCGAACGTAATACCACTCAGCGACTCCACACGGCTCTGTCAGATGCGTTGTACCGAGAAAGAATTTTACGGTCCGAATTAGAGGAAGGGGGGCAAGAATCTCTGGATCGGACAGATCTTAATTCTGTTCTGGATAGTGTGCCGGTATTTATGAGCTTGGCACAGTTGGCCAAAAATCAGGGCCTAAGACCCTTGTACTCAACGAAGGAGCTAGAAATTGACCGAGAAATGTTTTACCCCGAGAATGAGGAAGTGGTGATGAGGCCAGTGATTAAGACAGAGACCGCCGATAATGGCCAAGGTGCGGGAGCCCCGCAAATTACTATCTGGACGGTGCCGTACTCGGCGGCCGAAATGTCGAAAATCCAGGAAAAATATACCAGGTTAGCTCAAGAAACTGAGACAGAATATGTATGGAGAGTATCACTGACCGGTGGTGATCGAGTTCTGCTGTCGGAAGAGGAGGCCCAGGGGTACTGGGGGCCGGGGGTTTTCCTAACTACTGATGACCCAAGAGAGCCGTGGTCGTTAACTCAACGAACTGCTTATTGGGCAGGGCCCCACCATGTTTCTGTGATGGCAAATCCAGTATGCATCGAAACCCCAACCATAAACCATTTGATCGAGAATTTGCAGAAGGCTGCTTTTCTTCAATTAATGCGTGATAGGGGTTTAGTCCCTCAACAGCCTTCCCCAATGTTATTAATCGCTAACCCCGATAGAATGACTCCCCTGATCCGGGGTTTGCCTGATTCTTTGAAACTATATGCAGTACAACTACAAGACCGTTTGTGGGACGCATTAGCCCCACGAGGAGGGAGACGGGCATGAGGACGAGGGCCCATGACTAGGGGAGAAGTAGCCCAAGAGTTGATAAATTACAGTAGGAGGATGGGGATCACGGGGGGAGCTACAAAATTGAAAACTGCAGTGCAAAGAGCAGAACAGCAGGAAAATTGACCTCCCTCCCCCCTGCACAAACTTTGAGGGCAAAGAGAAATGTATTGTGGGCTGAGGGAATCGAAAAGGGGATTCCCCGGGATTTCACGGACGGTGTGCCTACTATGGCCTTAGAAAAGCTCATTTGGGCATGGAAAGACAAAAGGAAGGTACCCCTCAAATTTGAACAGCCCACTTGAGAGAGTATGAGGGCGGAACCCCAATTCAATGATAGGATGATGATTGCCTCTAAAGCCCCTACCACCCCAAAAAGAATTTGATTGATCTGGGGGCAGGAAACTGGACGCGCCATCCCCAGTAAATGAGCCGGGGGACGGCCAGTGGGTGCATTTAAGAAGACTCACGGAAAATAGTTAGGGGGACTTGTTAATTACTTTTCCCCTTGGTCCCTTTAAGACCCCGGTTACATTCCTAGTAGATACAGGCGCTCAGATGTCAGCACTTCAGGCGGATGTTGCTAACCGCAATGGTATAGTTACTGATAAAAACTAAATTTGGGTCATGGATGTTTTCAGAAACTAAGCTGCAGCCCACAGCTCAAGTCAAGTGCTGGTTACCAGGAGGCACATACCCTATTGAGGTCATGATGATACTGGGTATTTTGCCTGCAAACATTTTGGGACTTATGTGTTGAAGGGACGAACATGGACAGACTCAAAAGGAAGGGAGTGGAAATTCGGACTCCCCATGGTTTCTGTGAGACTTTTACAGTTGGTGCCTGCACTAGCCCCTTCCAAAATCATTAATGGACAGGCTGGATCGATGGGCCCAGGCCAATTGTATGAGGTTCAACAAGGCCAAGTGCCGGGTCCTGCACTTC